GATATTGTCGATACATATAGATGGCATGAACAACATGCCATGAACCATTTACGACAACCCATGCAAGATGCGCCTGACACCGACAGCATTCGGAAATTGAGATTAGCCGAAGGAGGATGTCTATCATCATCATCGGAGGAGAGCGATCTCAGCGAAGACGACGATGCTGGTAGCGACGACGAAGATTCTGGTAGCGACGAAGATTCTGGTAGCGACGAAGATTCTGGTAGCGACGAAGATGCTAGCCGCGATAGCGACACACCTCTCCCGAGTGCCGTGACAATGCCGACTTATCCCATACAGCTGACGAGTTTGGCTGGCCATGCAGAGCAGCATCGACGCCCCGAAACATCAAATCTTTCCAGGCCACCAGCCGCTGGCGGACGACCTAGTGCGCTGAGGCAGGGTCCCCCAGCGAGTGAACCTCGACAAACACAGTCCGTACGGTTTGGTACCGCGTCCATCTACCGCGTGAGCAGGACGAGCCCGGGTAATTAGCAAGGAGGAATAGGTTGGTAGTTAGCAGAAGGAAGCATAGACAATCTGTGAGAAGTCAAACAGGGCGTCAGTTATTGTAATAAAAAGGACAATGTAATTGTATTCCGTATCGTTGTTTGATATTTTTGTACCTGGATGGACTTCACTTGTTTTATGGAATCTAAGGTCTTTAGCTCTTAGCGATGAGTGCGATGAGGGGCGGATGTTGGATGAGGAACGTCAGGTTGGGGGTAGAAAGAGAGTCTGAGGAATGAGGCGGATTCCATGAAAAACAGGAGATACGCGCCTTAAGATCATACATTCACAAGCATGCAGGCCGGAAGGGCACGGAATATGCCCCGATCTCATATCTGGAGATACCCAGTCTCGGGAACCTGAACGTACATGGGTTGCATGTCACTTCTAAAGAGCATATGAGGGTAACAATACGATATACATAACTAGACAAACAACCTCACCTTCACGAAGCACATTGCCCATTTGCAGCTTTCTATAATTTTGTTTACCCATTGACCCATTGAAGCAAGGCGGATCCACGCAGCTGGCTCATAACACAAACGTGCCTTCGGAAATGAAGTAGGTTGGTCCAAGGTTTGTTGAACGATCTGCCTAAAAAGGTGACGGGAGTCCTACGCATTCAATTGGCCAACTGTCCAACACGCTCCAGGAGAAACGGTGGAGGTGTGCCGTTAAGTTGAACATATCACCTCATATCACCACCCCAGAATAGTTAAATCGGAAGTAGGGTTCAATCCATGGTGAGAAGCCCCACAGTATTATTTAGCCTTGACAAAATGAACAGAGATGAACACAGCCCTAATCTCACGCGCTACTACTTATGTAAGCGCGGTATTTATATGTTGTAGCAGAGCAGACATTGAGCAGACAAAGCACGCAATGTTGGATGCTGGAGAAACAGAAACTCGTTCTTACCTTAAACTGAGCAATGATCTCCAGCTTCATCAACATCATCCAAACCATTGGTTCCTCCGACCTCGCCGAGTTCGGGAGCGTAGGCGTTGATTTAGTGATGCATAAGTATAACTGCGCAAGTCCAGCGGCATCTGGGAGCTTTGTCACCATAGCGCAACAGAACATCATATCGCGCCTTTGAAATCCACAACACCATAGAGATGAATAAGCCGCTCGAACACTATAAAACTACATTTGATTTCATCAGTGAGCTTTGTTAAAATAACTACTCACCCCGCACCTCATCTTCATTACTAGCATGACAATCCTCATCACAGGTGGAACAGGCAAAACCGGCCTCGCACTCTCCCGACTCCTCGAGAAAGCCAACCACCCCGTCCTTATCGCTTCCCGAAAGGGAGCTGCACCCGCGCCTTTCAAAGCTGTTACTTTCGACTGGTTCAACCCCGCCACGTTCGAGAACCCTTTCCAGGTTGATGCCAACATCGATCGGGTGTATCTCGTTGGACCGCCCGTAGTGGATGCGCTTACACATGTCAAGCCGTTCATCGACCTTGCCATCTCGAAGGGCGTCAAACGGTTTGTCCTTTTGAGCGCCACTATATCGGAACCTGGATCGTTTGGAACTGGATTCATTCATCAATACCTCCTGGATATTGGCGTCGACTATGCTGTCCTCCGTCCCACTTGGTTCATACGTACGTGGCCCATACAAGTTTTCATACTCTATCACTGAACACCTATATAGAGAATTTCGGTGTGAATTTTGTCCATAGTATTACGCACGAAGACCACGTCTTCTCAGCGGCCAAAGATGGGCGCATCCCGTTCATATCAACTGAGGACATCGCACAGGCCGCATTTGATGCCTTGACTGCCGCGAAGAGTCCTAACCAAGACTACTTCATTGTAGGACCCGAACTACTTTCCTACGATGATGTAAGTGATGGTCAACTCATCAGTGTAAAACAAGTGCTTACCAAACTCTGTGGCTTCAAAGGTCGCCAAACTATTGACCGAGGTGCTAGGAAGAAAAATTGCTCACAGAAGAATCTCTGTTGATGAGGCCATACAAATATATACGACATTCGGGATGTCTCACGATTATGCCAAAGGATTGGCTACCTCGGAGTCACTTGTCGCGGAGGGCACAGAAGAGAAAGCCTTCAACGCCAACAAAGATAGAAAGATAGTCGGCAAACACACTTTACGGGGGTACGTCGAGGCTCATCGGGAGATTTGGGCCAAGGTTTAGCGCGAACAGTGGGGGAAATACCAAGGAGCCCAATGTATTCTGTTGTTGTACATTTAGTTCATATGCATTTCTAGTCTATAAGTCCCCGTCAACATCAATTTTCAATGTCATCTTCAATTTTAGTTTTGCGAACATGGCAGTCCTTTTGACTTACCAAAACTAAGATCAACACTCAATGATCATGACCTCAACGGTATCTCAAGATACAGAGCTAAACCTTCAAGGGAGCTAAACCTTCAAGGGAGCTAAACCTTCAAGGGAGCTAAACCTTCAAGGGAGCTAAAACCAACTGAACTTACATTGCCCGGTCTTGTTGCATCGCATACAATGAGGGTTGTGAGAGTGATTCAGCTGAGACCGTGCCCGCAAGGCCAGAAAGGTCGACTCCGAGCCTCCAGCTATGAACTGGGTATCTTTGAAATGAACAAGAAGACCCAGAAGAGTTAAATTGGAAGGAAGGTTCAATTCATGGTGAGAAGCCCCACAGTATTATTCAGCCTTGACAGAATGAACACGCCCTAATCTCACGCGCTACTACTTGTGTAAGCGCGTCGTAGCAGCAATTCTTGCTAATAGACAGTGCAGACAAGCACACAATTGGCACGCAACGTCGGATGCTGGAGAAACCTAAATGTTTTCTTACCTTGAACTGATCGTGATGATCTCCAGCTTCAAAATATAATCCAATTCATTGTCTCACCCGACCTCGCCGAGTTCGGTGGCGCAGGCGTTGATTTAGTGATGCATCAGTATGACCACGCAAGTTCAGCGGCATCTGGGAGCTTTGTCACCATAGCGCAACTGAACTCCATATCGCGCCTTAGAAACTCTTAGAAATCCAAAACACCGTAGAGATGAATAAGCCAATTAAACAATATAAAACCACATTCAATTTCGACAGAAAGCTGTGTTAAAATAACTACTCACCCCGCACCTCATATTCATTACTAGCATGACATTTTTCATCACAGGTGGAACCGGCAAAACAGGCCTCACCCTTGCCCGACTCCTCGAGGAAGCCAACCACCCCGTCCTCATCGCTTCCCGCAAAGGAGCTGCGCCCGCACCTTTCAAAGCCGTTACTTTCGACTGGTTCAACCCCGCCACATTTGAGAACCCTTTCAAGGCCGACGCCAACATCGATCGGGTCTACCTCATTGGACCGCCCGTAGGGGATGCGCTCACGCATGTCAAGCCGTTCATCGACCATGCCGTCTCGAAGGGCGTCAAACGGTTTGTCCTTCTGAGCGCCACTATATTCGAACCTGGACCTGGATCGTTTGGAACTGGATTCATTCACCAGTACCTCCTCGATATTGGCGTTGACTATGTCGTCCTCCGTCCCACTTGGTTTATACGTATGTGGCCCATATGAGTTTTCATACCCCGTTGCTGAACCCCTATGTAGAGAATTTCGCTGTGAATTTCGGTCATAGTATCACGCACGAAGACCACGTCTTCTCAGCGGCCAAAGATGGGCGCATCCCATTTATTTCGTCTGAAGACATCGCACAAGCCGCATTCGACGCCTTGACTGCCGAGAAGAGTCCTAACCAAGACTACTTGATTGTCGGACCCGAGCTGCTTTCCTACGACGATGTAAGTGATGGTCAACTATCATTCTAAAACAGTGCTTACATCTGTCATCAAAGGCTGCCAAAATATTGACCGAGGTGCTAGGAAGGGAAATCACCCACAGAAGAATCTCCATTGATGAGGCCATAAAAATATATGCGAAATTCGGGATACCTCCCGATTATGCCAAAGGATTGGCTACCTCGGAGTCACTTGTCGCGGAGGGCACAGAAGAGAAAGCATTTTATGCCAACAAAGATAGAAAAATAATCGGCAAACACACTTTACGTGCGTACCTCGAGGCTAATCGGGAGATTTGGGCCAAGGTTTAGCGCGAACAGTGGGACATACGAAGGAGCCCAATGTATTCTGTCGTTGTACATCTAGTTAATATGCGTTTCGTTATAAGTCCATGTTAACATCAATCTTCGATATCTTCTTCAATAACACTCAACAATCTCGACCTCCACTTTATCTCAAGATACAGAACAAAGCCTTCCAAGGAGCGGACAGCAACTAACTCACGTTGCTGCGTCGCACAAGATGAGGGTTGTGTTGTGAAAGTGATTCGGCTGTCCCCTCGAGGTCAGGAAAGGACAACTCTAAGCCTCTAAACTATGAACTGGGTATCTCTAAACGAACCAAAATGACTTCCTGTCGAGCAAAAAAACTTAGGAGGACTAACCGTGAGCTGCAGACGTATGACCGCACAAAAGATTTGCACAGAATTCAATAATGACTCTCTGTCTGGGAATCGAACCCAGCTTTCGCGCGTACTTGTAAGTACAACCACATGACAGGCGCGTGTACTAACCGATATACGAACAGAGACATGTTAACGGAGGCAAACTTTACTTACTTATCTATCCAAGACGATTTCTGAGTCGAAATCGTCTTGGGTGGATAAGTAAGTATCGAAATTTTCGACTCGACTTTCTCTTTCCATCCTACGAAATTTCTCTCCGTGGAGAACACGTTATATGGAATATTCGTTCGTACGGTCCACGCGAAACAATAAAAATCACAGTCATTTCGTCTTCGTCCTCGTATTTCATTCCATTACATACACATAAAAACCGTACAAAAACACGACAATCGACCCGGGTTCAATGTAGCTTACTTATTTCTTGCCTTCTGGGCGAAGAGGCTGCAGGAGAGGTCCTTTCTGAACATGAGCCGCCGAAGCCACAAATCGCGTATTCTCCCTTCCATCGCCCTAGAAGCATTATACAGTCAGTCGTGCGCCTTGTGCTCTCTGAGTGGCAAAGCACTTACAATCATCCATGTAGGGAATCCAGGTTCGAACGGCACCGCGTCTTCCAGGAACTTCATCTGCGCGTCGGTCAGGGCGATTTCCATAGCCTCCACGTTGGCGAGCAGATGCTCGACTTTCCGACCGCCAATGATGGGGAAGACGTATGGTGTTTTCTGCATGAGATATGCGATGGCGACTGCGACAAATCAACAAGTCACTCAGCAAATGACTCTTCGAACACAAAACTTAAACCTACCTGACGTGATGTGCGTGGTTCCGACTTCTGAAGCTACCTTCTCCAAAGCTTTGCAAATTTTCTTTTCGTTCTCGTTCCGCTCCCAGTTGGGCCCTGAGATCATACGTCCCTTTTCACCAGTCTGACGCCGTTTCTCTTCTTCTTCGTCGGTTCTAAGTTTTCCTCCAGCCAGGACGTTCCAGGGAGCTAATGCCATACCTGGACGGGAAGGAGATCATAAGTAACAAGCACTATTTTTGGATGAAGAAGGATGCATACCTTCGGAACGTGCCATGGGAATGATTTCGCGTTCGAATGACCGCTCCATGACGTTCCATGCACCCTGATAGATGACGAACGGGGTCATAGCGTGATCGCGCGCGTACTGATTAGCCTTCGAGACCACCCAAGCAGGCGTATCCGAGATTCCCTATCACACAAAAATCCGATATCAAGCATCTGACGCAGTCCATAAACCAGAATTGCTGCATACCAGGTATAAAACCTTTCCTTGGAGAACTAGGGTATGAAGTGCGCGCATGACTTCTTCCACGCTAGTGTCCCAGTCCCACCAGTGAAGATACAGAAGGTCGATGTAGTGCGTGCGTAGTTTCTTGAGAGACGCCTCTACAGAGATTTGCAGAGATTTCGCGTTGTTACCGACGTAGAGAACCTTCTGCTCAATGGACGAATCACGATTCTTGAAATTCGTGGTGTACTAAGGAAACGAAATGTTAACATTTCAGCTGCCAGCCATAGAGAAGTGAAATACCTTGGTCGCGATGAACAATTGGTCCCTGATACCACGCTTCTCCGCCCATTCACCAACGAACATTTCGGACGTTTCATCCTGGCTGAACGTCAAAAACCGAGTCAGAAAGTCAAATTTAGACGCATATATTCAGTTTTGCGACTCACTAGTTATTCGCCGTATCAATGAAATTTCCGCCGTTATCGAAATAAGCATCAAGCAGCTTGAAACTGTTTTCCTTGTCCATACTGCCCATTCCGATGTCCTCCCACTTGTCACCAATGCTCATGGCACCAAGCTGCATGGGCGATACATGGACACCAGCGTGAGGAGACAGCACGCGATAACGACCAAGTCCAGTCTTGGGGGGAGGTGGGGGTTGCCAGAGAGACATTTCCGCGTCGTGCTTATCTGGGAGAAGATGGGAGAGTTTTGGGGGAGAGTTTGGGAAAATGAGATTGGGAATGGGATGGGATTGTAGTACTATTATATACTCTTCGTTGAAGAGCCTGAGTAATCAGAAATCACACGAACAGATTCCGAGAGAAGCTTGGGATTGCCAGATGACTAAATGTCAAGCCTACAGTCTGCCGACGTCATGCGTAAGACATGACGATACACGGCTGGTAGACGAATCGACAGGGGATCATTTATACGCGTAGATCTGGACCATCAGATAAATTCAAATAAGCCGTTTTCTATGGTGAACAGTAGTCAACCGACTCCTGAGTACATGACTCAACTGATTGTAGAAATGTGACAGTCTGAATTCGTCAGTATCATAAGGTATCAGCATGATTGCTGCCGCAAAAATCGATGGACATGAAAGACGAGTGCATGACATTTCGCTTGCCAGGCCCGTGTGCCTGATCTGCAAACATATTTACAAGGGAACTCAATGCTGTCACAAGCAAACAAAGCTCAAGCAAGAACCGTTCCTCACGCTCAATATTGGATGACGATCAAGTGCTGATGTTCGGTATGTGACTACTGGCCTAATATTACACGAAGGGATATAAAAACTAATACAACTGGTACCAGGGAAATAAAAGAGTAACAGTCCACCAAGTAACGAAGGAGCGAAGGGAAGGGAAGAAAGATCATAGGTAAGTCGGTGTCAGTCAGTGATTGGAGAGTTAGTTGGGTCGGAAATTCATAAGTCATAAGGAGCATAATGGCATAAGTGGTGCGTTTCATAACTTGATCACAGCACATCCGTAGCGTGTGATTGGAAGCTGTTGTTGGTGGGCTGCGAGACCCATTGCTGGGAGTAAGCGTTCTGCCGCTGTTGAGCTCCAAAATTGACGATTTGCGTCGGCTCGCGATGTATTGGTTGTGGCTGTTGCTGGAACTGATTGTGCTGCTGTTGCTGCTGGTTGTGTTGCTGCTGGTTGTGTTGCTGCTGCTGGTGTTGCTGTTGCTGTGGTTGTGACATAGACGCAACCGGAGGGGTGTGCGCTTGTCGGACAATGCTAAACATCATCGCGCCGTCCAAATCCATATCCCGCTGCATCTCCTCTATCTGGCGCTGAACCTCAATCGCCGCATTCACGCGCGCAGCCTCATATTTCATCTTCGCCATCTCCCTCTGATAGATCTCGTCCGCGCGTTGCATCTCCTTCATTTCATAGTCGTCCGGGACGGCGGGTCGCTGGAAGTTACTGCCCTCGGTCACCAATGCGAACCTCCCCTCTGCATTTCTGGCCCAGTGTTGTGCGTTGCCGCGTCGGAGGGGGCGGGGGGAGTCGTTGAGGTTGGTGTTGTTGATGGGTGTGAAAGGTTCGAAGGCGGAGCCGGGGGGCGCGGTGTAGCCGACATTGTGGTAGACGTCGAAGCTCATGTCAGCAGGAGTAGCTGGGCCACCGGAGGACACAGAGGAGATGGACCCGCTGGAGGCAGAGTTGAAAGAGCTATTGCTATCGGAGGACATTTCGTCGTCGGATGACTCCGAGATGGACGAAAGCGAGCCGTCGAACAAGGAATTGGCGGAGCCGTTGTGCGAGGAGTACGAAGAGCTGTTGCTGAGGCCTGTCTGATGCGGAGGCTGTCTCATACTGTGTATGGGATTCGGGACGCAATTGTCGTTCCCGTAATTGAAGCGAATATGCAGCCCTTCGCCAGTGTCCGAGAGCGACGTGTGGTGGTTATAGCCCGCCTCGTCCACATCCATAGCTTTCCTAGCGGCGCTGCGGGTAATCATAGGCATATTGGTGATTGGTGGGGATCTGGGAATCTGGGTGGTCTTGCGTGTTGCGAGCGGGCTCTTGCTGTGGTCGGTGGGCGATTGAAAGCGTTTGTTCCTCCCCCCTTCCTTTCATCCGATGGCTCAAATACCTTTCGCATCTTTGAGCTTTGTCTCGCGTTTAAGCGTGCCCGACAAACGACGCTTTGCCCGCGATGTGCTTTTTGCAAGTCTTTGTCGTGCTTGGACCGCCGGACCGGGAGTGGCACAGCTGCCCTTTGAGATATCACATCCCCGCTTTGTCTTATATCCTTGGCGCGGCTGGCATACCCGGTCCTTTTTGCTTGGACCTTTGTTTTGTCGTAGTGCAATGCCTGGACAACGAAATTCCTGTTCTTTTCCTCAATGTCTGTGGGGATTTTTTTTTTGGATGAGCGATAATCTCATCGTTGTTGCCAACGCATGGACTTAGAGATTCTGGCACTCGTCAACGTTATTCTTTGCAATGGGTACTTACTTCAGTTATGTTCGCGATGGGATTGAATAGAAGATTCCAAACACCCCGCCAAAGCGCTGGTGAACACGGCTGAATGGGGAACACCAAAGCAAGATCAAGAGTGGCACCGTTCGTGCACTAAGTCGAAATCACACCAAGTGTTACGTGAAATAGTTAAACCGTAAAATAATGTTGTAAAGAATGACTCGCAGTAGCGTAAATTATGGGGAATATCAATCATGTTTTTGTCACTAAGCACCGACCTACTACCTACTGCCACGCCAACCAGGGCGTTCGACAACGGGAGCTCAGTCTCAAGCCGTACTTTTCATTTCTTCTCCCTCGTGATACTATCAATCGTCTTCCACCCACTCACCAACGTCCTGCGAATGCTCCCCGCACCTGGTTCTGCGCCCCCGTCGACAGTGGTGTACGGCTCGTCGGGGTTGGCCGTGAGTTCCGCGGCAGTACGGCGGTCGGAAGGCGCGAAAGGCTGGTTCCTGCATGAGATAGCGGTAGTCAGTAATAGAAAATATAAGACCGTGAGTCGGTGTACCATTTGGTGAAGAGGTACTCGGAGGGATCGGGGTTAGTGTGCTGTGTAGAAGAACACGTTTAGACGTCTGGGGATGACTTGAAGGGAAGACACTTACAGCAGTGATCTCGTGTAGGTCGCGTTGAATGGTGAGACAGAAGTAATCAAGATCTTTCAAAGTTATAAATATGGATTTGAAGAGTACAGGGCAGACGGGCGCTTACCTAGATCGTTCAAGTCGTAGTTAAAAGGGTTTTCGCTACAGATAAACGCATTAGTACTCGACTTTATGGATTGTTTAAGTCGTGAGGTACATTTCCTGTCCAATCTCGAGGAATCCAAGAAGCAAGAAAGACGCGAACGCCGTCCCAGGAATA